AAGCGGGGTTAGCGTCAGGGTTGGGTTCAAGTTACGGCTATTTCGGGGTTAGGGTTAAAACGATACAAGTGCTGTGGACGGACACGGACGGGATATTAATCGGGGTGCGGCTGGAGGCCAGCTGGGGAAACTGAGTCCGAAGGTGAGCTGGAGGAGTATCGCGGCCGCTGGAAAGCCTGCTCTCCCCCCTTCCCCCCTTCCCAACGATCGACTAGACCTACCTCCTTGGCTTGCAGCCCTGGGCGTCAGGTCCCTTCTGGGGAAACCCCAGGGTGTGGCAGTGGCAGCTTCCTCCTCCTGGGAAATTTCACCCGACTCCCTCGTGACCAGCGCTGCTCGCCCAACACGCATTCTCCCTTCTTCCGGAAACCGACTCCCAGATTTACTCTGCGTTTCTAGCAGTGCTCTCAGCGAAACCTCCGTTGCCAGAGCCTCATAGCTCCCGGGGTGGCCTGGTGACCACAGCCTGGACAGTGGGAAGGGCGGGGAGCAGCTGGAGGGACTCGTAGGGCGTCTTCAAGAGGAGGCCGTGTGCCTCCCTCCCCCCCAGACCTCACAGCATCGGCTCCCAGCTCGCGCGTCGCCTGGTTGGCACCCGTCGGAAGGTCCGTAGCGAGCGCCCTTGTCCTTACTGTCAAACGGGGGGTCTTGGCTTCCTCGGTCCCCGTGTCTGGCTTCGAGCACCCAGTGCCCCCGCGTCCCCAGCGCACCTGGGGACAGAGCCGCCCTCCGGCCACGCAGTATCTTACAGAGTGTGACGCCGTGCCTCTCCGTCTGGGGCGACCCACCGGGACGACGACGCCGTGGGCAGATCCCGCCTGTGGCGGGACTCCTTCTACAACGCGGTGACCACAGTCACGTGTGCGGTGCCCTGGCCGGCGCCCTGAGAAGCCGCCGAGACGCGAGGCCGTCTGGCCACCTGCCCAAGCAGTGCTCACATTCTGGCTCCCGGCTGCCCATCCCGTCCATAGACAGCAAACAGCAGTTAACGACGGCGATGATTATAACTGAAGCTGAGAGTAGGACAGACTCTGTTGTAAATGCTCGGCCTGGATCGTCCTGTGCAATCCTTACGCTAACCCCCTTGTGCCGGGGGTCACGGAGCTGGGAGGGGGTAGGGCGTGTTTGAAGAAACAAGACAGATGAACGTAGGGGACAGGAAGGAAAAATAAGATCAAACCAGAGAGGGAGGCAAACCGTAAGAGACTCTTAAGTACAGAGAACAGGGGCGCCCGGGTGGCTCAGTCAGCAAAGCGTCCGCCTTCCGCTCAGGTCACGATCTCGCGGTTCGTGGGTTCGAGCCCTGCTTCGGATTCTGGGTCTTCCTCTCCCTCCGTTCCTCCCCTGCTCGCGCTATCTCTCTGTCTCTCAAAAATAGAGATTTTTTTTTTTAAATTAGAGGAAAAAAATACAGAGAACCAACTGAGGGTTTCTGGAGGGAGGTGGGTGGGGGAAGGGCATGAAGGAGGACACTTGTTGGGAGGAGCCCTGGGTGTCGTATGTCGGTGATGAATCGCTGAATTCTACTCCTGAAACCATCGGTACACGATATGTTAACCAGCTTGGATTTAGATAAAATTAAAAAAAAAAAAAAAATAGTCCCTGTCGGTTGAGCGGATGTAAAGGCCAGGGGAGCACAGCCACGCCCCCGACAACAAGGACCGATGGGCCCCAAATGGCCCCAGGGTCCGGAAGGAAGTTCTGCCCCCGCCCCCCCTTCCCACCACGATCCTCGGAGATGGGCGCTGTTCTAGGTGCTGACGTACCCGTTTTACCGGTGAAAAAGCAAGCCCAGCGGGAGATGAACGAGCTCCCCCAAAGTCACAAAGCAAGCGGATGGGTCCCTCAGCTCGCAGTGCCCGGGAGCCACGCGGCGTGGTGCGCGTAGCGTGTCCGCTCCCGCAGGCTTAAAACCACGCAGATGTTGTCCTTTCACGGTGCTGGAGGCCACACGTCCAGGATCAGTAATCTGGAGCAAACTCCAAGTGTGGGCAGGGCCGCGCTCCCTCCAGGGGCTCTGGGGAGAACGCGGCTCGCGGCCACACCACGCGCGTCCCCGAAGCTTCCCCTCCAACGCGACCCGGGCTGCTCCTTAGCACGTGGTCGGGCCTCCCCGCCCTGCCTCCTAGGAGGACACGTGCGATCGCATTCAGGGCCCACCGGGGCTAGCTCAAGTTCGTCTCCCCATCCCGAGACATCTAACGTATTCACGTTCGCAAAGATCCTTTTCCCAAACACGGCAGAAGTGACAAGTTTCGGGGATCATGGTCCGATTCTTTGGGGGCCGTTATTCAGACCACCCACAGACACCCTCCCGGCATGGCCTCGCCATAATTATATTATGTCCGTTTTAGGGATGAGCCAGGCTCCCGGGGGGTGACCAAGCTGCAGGTGCTGAGGGCCAAGTCTCTGACATCTAGAAGCTTACTTCATCGGAGGAAGCCAAAGCCCGTGCAGGAACTGCACGCCCACTGCACACACACACACGCACGTGCGGGCACAAGCATCCACTGACCTGACATGACTCGGCCTGACGATAATCACTGTAAGTTCAGAAAAATTTTTAACTGTAAATTGCATGGCATTTTTACAAAAGTGCGTTTTAACATTTATTTATTTTTGAAAGAGAGAGAGAAAGACAGAGCGTGAGCAGGGGAGGGGCAGAGAGAGGGAGACACAGAATCCGAAGCAGGCTCCAGGCTCCAGCTGTCAGCACAGAGCCCGACGTGGGGCTCGAACTCATGGACGGTGAGATTGTGACCTGAGCCGAAGTCGGACGTCGGACGCCCAACCGACTGAGCCACCCAGGTGCCCCTTAATGTGAGCTTTCTGAAGTCAGAGACCTCGTGGGTACTTTACGTGCCGATACCACACACACACACACACACACACACACACACACACACACTGGTAACCTCTCTAGTGTTCACAAGACCCTTTCACTCATTCATTCATGGGCCACCATTAGTTGAGCACCTACTATGTGCCAGGCACTACGGAAACGCGGCGGAGCAAAACACAGCTCCCGTCCCTGCTTGGGCGCTGCTCAGGCCTGAGCGGAGCGGACCCGGCCCCAGGGACCAGGAAGAAAAGGAACAGGGCTCCGCGAGAGGGGTGGTCCCCGCGGTGGTAACACCACAGCCCAGGGCGGACCCGCTCAGACGAGGCCCAAGCGCCACGGGTTCCACGGGCTTCCACGGGCCGCCGTGTCCCCCAGCTGCGGCCATGTGGGCAGGGGGCGCCGTGTCCCCACCCGTGTCCGCGGCCAGCCCGAGCCCTCTTCGCCAGCACAGCCAACCCCGGTGTGCGCTCACCGGAGCAGAGAGAAATCACAGAAAATGATGCGTCTCAAGCGTTTTACGTTTGTGGAAATGACGTAACCGTTGTTCCAGTCTCGCAGTGTGCAGTCCGGGCCTTTCTGTGCCTGCAGGTCTGCCGTCTGGACTTGACCCTCTCTCTCAGGGGAAGCTCTGTTGCCTTTTACCCCGGGGTTTCCACGTGCGACGCCTCTCCAGCGAAGGGAGGCGCAGAGACGCTCGTGAGGCCATCTGCCTTCAGAGCCCTGGAATCCTCCCAAGGCATTTACATTCACTTTCCCAATAGTTTTTGCACTCAGGTTTTTACCAGTTTACGTCATATCAGTTAAACTGTGTAAGGTTAAAGCTGGAATGGCAACTCCGACCCATGATCAGGTTCTGGGACAGCTGATTCTTGCAGCGTGGCAGCTGTGGGAGCCACACGGGCCGGCTGCTGGCGGGCTGCGGCCGTTACATTTCGCAGAGGGCCCGGCAGCGAAGGCCCCGGGCCACCTGGAGGCCGGTGGGAATGCTCCCTGCGAACACACCTGACGCAGCGGTGGGACGCAGCGGTGGGAACACACCTGACGCAGGGCAGGGGCGCGTCCGGGCCCGAGGGCCGGGGCCCCACGGAGGCTCTCCCGCGGTTGCTATCATCGTGTGTCTGGGGCCCGGTTAACTAGAGAGGAGGAAGCCAAGGGGCCAGGGCAGGTGGCAGGGAGGCGAGGCAGGGCTCCTCCTGCAGCAGCCCACTGGCAGCTCCCAGAAACTTCTGGAAGCCCACCAGCAGCTCCCAAGGTCATCAGAACTACACTCCTGAGGGCTTGCCCTCTATCTCTGTAAACTGGTTCTTACCACGGAAGAGAAAGTCACTTGCTACCCATCTCTCAGCAAAAACTCCCCCCTGCAGGCAAAGAAGGAAGAGCCCTCCTCTCCTGTAGAGCTGGCTCCGCATCCGGGTCGGGCCCACAGCACCGATGGAGGCACCGAGGCCCCGGCCCCACTACTCGGCAGCCCCGAGCCTGAACTGGGCTGCTCTCTCCTCCCTGACAGTGCTTTTCCTGCCTACCCGGGGCTCATGCTTCCCCCAGGGAGCCCCCCGGGATCACCCGCAATATCTCCCACGCGTGCAGCTCACACAGGCAAGCACCTGTCTGGGCTGAGGTTGGTTAGGGGTGTTCCCACATCTCAAAGTGCAGGATGGACAGGGATCCCCGTTTTGCTCCCGGGAACACGATGCGGTATGCTGTCTTACCCCGGCTTAGCTCGGGGTGGAATAAGAAACCCCACGATGATCTCAGATGACGCCGAGTGTTGGGGGGATTTGAAAGCTGCCCACAGGCCACGTCGGGCTACACCACAGACCCCCGAGAGCAAAATGCCCGCCCTCTGCCGTTCTGCGCTTGGGCCTTTAGTGGCTCGTCCCGGGGAACGGTTCAGACAAACTGAATTCTGTCCGTCATGCTGACCGCTAAGCGCTAGACAGACAGAAGGAATTCTTCGTGTTTATTATTGGGCGTCAGTCTTACGGCCGCAACGAGATGGGAGACGTTCAAGAAAAGAAGCAAGGACGGGGCGCCTGGGGGGCTCCGTCGGTGAAGCGTCCGACTTGGGCTCAGGTCATGTTCTCACAGTTCGTGGGTTCGAGCCGCGCGTCGGGCTCTGTGCCGACCGCTCGGAGCCTGGAGCTGCTTCGGATTCTGTGTCTCCCTCTCTCTCTCTGCCCCTCCGCCGCTCGTGCTCCGTCTCTCAAAAATAAACAAGCATTAAAAAAATTAAAAAAAAAAAAAAAAAGGTAAGCCTCCAGCAACAGACAAGTGGAGAAACAAAATGTAGTATGTCCACACCATGAAGCGTTACGGTAGAAGAGGAACGGCGTCCTGACCCTTGGCCACAGGGGTGAACTCCCAGAACATTACACTCAGGGACAGATGCCGGTCTCCAAAGAACACCTGCCGTCTGATTCCATTCACAGGCAAGGCCCCAGTAGGCCAGCCCTGTTCTTTCTGTGCTCGGGACAGAGAGCAGATTCCTGGTTGCTGGGAGGGGTGAGGTTGGTGAAAAAGGAGAGTGAGAAGGGAGCTGAGCTGACTTCCCAGGGGATGAGCCGCTCTAAGGTGACCTCAGTGGGGTCCGCGCGGCCTGGGAACCACGAAAGCCACTGAAATGTACTCTCTCCGTGGGTGAATTGCATGGTGGGTGAATTACGTCCCAGCAGAGCTGTCTTTGAAAAACACAAACAAAAAGCGAGACACAGAAGATGGCGTATGAGATAGTTCGCTTCGAAAGCGGTTCAAAATCAAGAGCAGACAAGGTATTTGGTAGGGTCCATGTTTCCGTCGACGTCCGGAAGAACCCTTTCAGTCAGTCTTAAATGAAAAGCCCTAAGCCACAAGAATACAGAGGGGGGTGGGGCGCCTGGGTGGCTCAGTCGGTTAAGCGGCTGACTTTGGCTCAGGCCACGGTGTCCCAGTTTGATTTGTGGGTTCGAGCCCCACTTCGGGCTCTGCGCTGACAGTGTGGAGCCGGCTTGGGATAGTGGGGGCAATTATTCAGTTACTCACTCCTTGTTGACCGGAGCCCTTCTTCAGATGTGACCCAGCTCCAGGTCGGAAGCGGAGACGAGGACCCTGAAGGGCTGCCGTGAGCAGGTGGCTTTTATTTACCATTGATTCGTTTATATCTGCGTCTTTGCAGATATTTAAAAAAAAAAAAAAAGGCACCGAGGGGAGGGAGCGCCTTGCATGTTTCTGAATCTCGTTTCGTCACCTGACGAGTTGGGCTCCTGATGCCAAGCGCCTGGGGGACCAGGGGACCAGGCGTGAGGCTCCAAAGATTGAGTGAGGACACACAGGGCCTGGGGACGAGTATAGCTCTGGGCCGCCAGCCCCTTCCCCCCTAAGTGCTTGTGCTCGGTTAGCAGGACTGTGCACAAGGAGAGAACAGGGGTGGGAGGGCCCGAAAGCCAAAGTCCTCTGTGACTGCGAGTTGTTACTTCTGCCTTTATTATTACTTGAAGCGCCTCGCGGCCATGAACTTGACGGAGGAAATGCAGTAACAGCTTGTCCGAGAACCGCGTGTGTTTTATGGCTCTCTCCCAAAGCTCTGATGGCTGGGGGACGGGGGAGGTGGGCAGGGAGGCGCTTTTAGAAGGGAGAAGGAGGGAGGACTCACTGTTCTCTCCCCCCTGCCAGCGAGGAGAGACAAGCGAGCGAGCCCTTCCGCTGGGAAGCGCGTCTGGACTCCTAAGGGAGGCGGGGGTCCCCCCACCCCCGACCCCGCTGTCAAGTGCGGAACCAGAACAGAGCCTGGACGGCGGCCCCTCGCTGATCCCGCACCGAAATTTGCGGAAAAAACAGCCCAGCTGACTGCCTCGTTCCTGACCGGTTGCAGAGAAAGCTGGACAGACACTGGGTCACCGACCCCACTCCTGAACCAGCCTCCCCTCCCCTCCCCCCACACCAGGCCGCCAGGCGGTGCTCCAGACCAGCATCTCATCCAGGGCCCTTCTCCAGAGGGCAAGGGCAGCCTTATTTGAACCCGCCTCTGTTCCCCCGCTCACTCACCCCCTAGGCACCCACACTTCCCTGCGTTTAAAACCACACTTAGGGCGCCTGGGTGGCGCAGTCGGTTAAGCGTCCGACTTCAGCCAGGTCACGATCTCGCGGTCCTTGAGTTCGAGCCCCGCGTCGGGCTCTGGGCTGATGGCTCGGAGCCTGGAGCCTGTTTCCGATTCTGTGTCTCCCTCT